GGGGGGGCGGGCTTTGATGAGACAAACAGTGCTTGGGATTGAGTCTGTTGGAGGCTGGGCTAACTGCAGTGTTTGTTTTCAAGTCTTGCCCCTGGTCCTTTAAAATGGAACTAATTGGTTGGATAGATCTTGATTACCTGCTGATGTACAACGTGGGCAGTTTTATGTGCACGCACTCACATTTTCTTACTTTTCTATCGATCACCGCTCCCCCACCCCCCACCCTCTCCCCTACCAATCTCAGCCACCCACCTGTGTTTGGTGTGAAGATGGAGCAGGCAGCCTTTCTAAACAGGAAATAAGCAAGATGGCATTTGGGAGACGCTGTTTTATTTTTGTGAGTTCTTGTCAGATTTTTAATTGGGAAATGTGTCTACCACTTACTGTTAGGTGATTTGCTTTCCAATTAAATGTCGACTCTCTTTATAAGTTGGCCTCTAATAGCAGGTTTAATTGGGAAGACAAACTTGGCCGTGACTTGAGGAGACCTTATTGAAACCCCAGAGCAGAGCTTTTGTAGACGGCCTCTGGTTACAGATGTCAAGGCAGTTTGAAGGCTCACGTTTCAGCTTTTATATCTTCACAGAAGATGGAATTTCAAAAACTTAGGAAATCCTTTATTGTTAAATTCTCTTCCTCCTCAGAGAGTGTTTTGGTCAGCCCCATATTTAATTCAAAGTAAACTTTGGTAAAGGGGCCCAGGCTTCGATCGCAGCTTTGAACAAAGCGCTTTGAGGTCCATGACATAGTTTGGCAGGAAAGGGATGTGGACACGGTTCCGAGCACAGTCCTGGAAGTGTGTGAGGTGAGCAGTGTTGCCTCCAGCATCACCTCCTGTCTTCATGTGAGCCCATCTAAGGGCTTTTAGAGATTCTGGGTCTTTGTATCCTGGCGAGTCTTGGCACCAGAGATGCAGTATTGTTTGAAAATTTCTGGAATACCTGGAGACGAAACACTTCATAAACTTCCTGGAAGTCCTGGGATGCCTGACAGCATCTGAGTGGATATAAGGGGTAAAAAACAACAACAACAAAAAACAAAAAACCAAGAAAAAAAATTACTTTTTTTTTTTTTCTGGCTAAGCATGCAGTATTAATATCTTGGGAACCAGTGTCGTCGTTTCTAACCCCATGTGTAATTTTTAACATTGGAATTTCTTGAAGGTTTCGAGGCATATAGTTTTAATATTGGGTGATACAGTCATATTTTTTCAAGCCATTGCTTGTAGGTTGGTGTGGTCGCAGCCTCCAGTGGAAGGTGTATATTTGGTAGAAAGTCACTGTGTTATCCATTATCCACGTAACCTTGGATCAGTACTGAAAACCACCGTGGCCTAGTTCCTCGTTTGTAAAATAGGATAATAGTATGATCTGCTCTGGTTTCTGGGGAAATCCAATAAGAGTCTGTAAAAGTGCCA